ATGAAATGATTTATAGTGTCTGAAAATTTTAAAACAGCAAAGTCGCTGTTTTACAGTCTTGGTATACCTCCAAAAATAATTTTGTGAATTATATATAATAACAAAGGAGCTTGTTCAAAATGAGTCTTTTTCATGAAACATTTTTACCTTTTAACAAAAAAAAAGTCGTATTATTTACTAGCAAGAACAATTTTTTTTTAATATCATATCATTTGAAAAAATAATCTAGACGTGTGAATATAAAAATTAAAAAAGGTTCGAAATTGATTAACTTATTCTTTCAGGAATTTTTTCTTTCACGTTTAATTTTTTAATTTTAAAAATGTGTGAATTTAATTTTTTTAATTAAATTTAAAATATTAATTAAATTTAATTAAAATAACTAAATTTACCTATTTCTAAAGTTAAACGAATAAATTAGAGCAAAGGAAACTAATTTTAATTTTATTTAAAATTAAAAAAATAAAGACATATTTAAAAGGAAATGACGTCTAGTAGACGAAGAGTTCCAATAAATGAGATTTTTTAAAGAACTCTATTGAAAATGGTGAAAATCCAAATAATTCAACGCATTTAAATTATATTTGTTAAGCGTTGGCTTTTTTTGTTTCACCGCATATATGAGCTGATTGAAAACTTCATATTTCACAGTATTCCGTGTTTGTATCAGTCCTGTCTTTTACCCACTTCTGTCCTAATCAGCTCGACGAGGCTACGCTTTCAAACTTTTTAATTTAATTTTGACTACAGAAAATGTGTGTTTTTCGTTGAATACTCTTGCTTCTAGACTACGTACTTTTCAGTGTAAGCAACTCACGATTATAAGGACAAATATTAATCATAAGTCTCTTTGACTTAGTAACATTTAAAAAGAAAAGCTATTAAAAACGATATAAAAAGAGATGTAATATGTTAAATGAAAACTAGAAACCAAAAGTACGAAACTTACTGAAGGAAATTCTGGTTATCAAGTGACAGCACCAATCATGATAATACGCAAAGCTTCAGTTAAGATTGTTGGTTGTTCTGATTATGTGATGGGTGCCGTTTCTTGCATGCTTCTTTTCTTTCTCTGTTGTCTAATACCTGAAGCCAGTGCCCAGTATCTCTTCCTAAACTGTGATAACAACAACGGGAACTACACAGCTAATGGCACCTATAGCACCAATCTCAACACCCTTTTATCCACTCTTTCTTCCAACACAGAAATCAACTATGGTTTCTACAACTTCTCCCATGGTCAAAACGCAGACAGAGTCAACGCCATTGGGCTGTGCAGGGGAGATGTGGAGAAAAATCCGTGCCGCAGTTGCCTCAAAGATGCCGGAGGCAATATCACAGAGCTTTGTCCAAACCAGAAACAGGCTGCTATATATTATGACAACTGCATGTTGCGCTACTCAAACGACTCAATATTTGGGGTCTTGGATATTTCTCCCCACTTTTATATGTCGAACTCAAATAATGCAACAGGAGCGGCTGAGTTCAATCAAGTGCTTCAAAACTTATTAAGGGAACTCAAAGATAAAGCAGCATCCGGTGACTCCCGTCGTAAGTATGCTACGGATAATGACACAACTACCAATTTTCAAGCCATATATGGTCTTGTGCAATGCACCCCTGATTTGACTCAGACAGAGTGCAACGATTGCTTGGATGAGGCTATCTCACGAATCCCAACTTGCTGCAACGACAAGAGAGGTGGTAGAGTTGTTGGACCCAGCTGCAATATTAGATATGAAGATTATCGCTTCTATGAACAGACAACGATAATAGACCCAGAGACAACACCACCCACAATTAACACTTCCACGGAAGGTACTTATCATTATATTTTGCTTCTCAATAGCCTAATAATTACAGTTGAGTTCATGATCATCCAAGTGCCTAACCCAGCAGAGGGTTCTTGTTTTTTCAGAAAGTAGCAACACAACAACAATTGTCATTGCCGTAGTTGTGCCTACTGTTGTTGTTATTTCGCTATGTCTCTTCATTTGTTTAAGGAGGAGAAAGGCAAGGAAAAATCTTGAAGGTTAGTCCACTTATCAATTTATTGTGATATTTATGTCCAATTCACTCCTACACTGTTACAATAAATTATCAACAGACAAAATTTCCCGAACACCGACAGCGGTATTGTTCTTTGAACGTATGAAAAAAACTAACTAGTTTAAATCCGTTCCCCATGTAAAGTTAAAAAAGAAGAAAGAGAAGAAGAAGATGAAGATGAGGATGAAATTAAAATTGCCGACTCGTTGCAATTCAACTTTGACACAATACGAGTTGCTACCGAGGACTTCTCTGATTCTAATAAACTTGGACAAGGCGNGAAAAATATAAACCACATTAAACAAAAGCAATGAGAATAGAAACTAAAACAGTATTTAAGTTATTTTATTATTAATAATAATAATATTATAGTCACAATTATTATTAAGTTTTATTTTTAGTGTTATTGTAAATTATATTTGTATAATGAAATGTAACTTTGTATATAAAAATAAAAATTGAAAATATTAACAAAACACATAACGTCGATTTTTCTTTTGGTGACAACTTGTGTCTTTGCTTAATTTAAAAAAAGACGAAGTTGTGATGGTAATTTAATACAAAAGAGTGAAAACATAAATTTTAGCAATTATGGTAAAGAAAGGAACAACATTCAGGGTTTGTGGAGGGTGGTTAAATAAATTGAATGTTTTTAGCTAAGTTTTCAAAGAACGTAAAATAGATTCCACTGTGAAAACATGAATGAGAATCCATTCTAGTCTCATGCACAAAAAAAATGGAATCCATTTCACAAACAAAAGAAATCACTTTCAACCTTTCTAAATCACTTACAATCGATTTCACAATCAACAAAATTGATTTCAGATCATCACAGATATACCTAGAATCGATTCTAAACCACTATAATTAATTTCATTATATAAAAAATACACTCAAAATCGATTCCAACTGCTTCTCAAGACACTCATTTACGTCCTACATCATGCACAACGTATTTCAAATTAAAATGAAGGTCATTTTTATCATCTGTTCATGTTTCTACAATACGTCATTCCATATCTCGACCTTCATGCGCAGATGGTTTGTTGCTTCCTCTACAAATTCGCACATCCAAAGTGTCACTAATCAGCTGAAAAAAACCGTGATAAACTCGCACATCCATCCTCATAATTTCACTTTAAAAGTGTCATTTACAAAAATAAACAATCTTAAGATGTATAGATATTCATTCCAACTTTTGAAGTTTCAACGTGGTATTAATATTATTTAATTAGTTCATTTTATATTATTTTGAAAAAATATGGTTGTATCTTATAATGATAATTTTTATGATCTAAGTAAAGTTTGGTATGAAGAATTACAAGTTATTATAATAGATTTTAATAATGGAATCAGATTGACTTGAATGCCAATCCTTCTTAAATATAGAATTCAGCAGAAAATGATCCGGTAAGCGAGATTATAAGCAACTTGTTACATATTTGTTTCAATGACGTTTTTAAGAATAAATTATCCCTCTAGAAAGAAGAACGAAGGCCACCCGTAATATATGGAAATTAAACAAAACTAATGCCAACATGTCGAAGACGAATACTTTAGCAACCAGCAAACAAAATCTTCATTTTTTTTATATTGGAAAACTGAAGAAACTTTTATGATTGAAACAGATACTTTGTAATAATAATTAAAAAATAGTATGATATATTAACAAAAACAACAATAAGTGACATCGGTTGATAAATAACAATAATTTCAATGATCGTCAATAAGAAAAATAACTATAATAGACGTTAACTTGAAAGAAAATTCATTGAAATGACTTAAAAAAAAGGATATTGAGCTGACAATTACGATACCTAATTAAGTCAATGACGTTTTGAATCTGTAAACTTAAACGCGGCAGTTCCGTCTCTATCAGGCAACCTTCTAAGAAGGTGTCAGTCCTTTCATATACATTTTTTATACCATCAAAATTAATGGTCCTATAGCTACCCCTCATGTCAAAGCCAAATAAAATACTTGTATCATGAATGACTTTTAGATAACTTCTTTACATCATCTATTTCAACTTTCTACTTTCCCTTCCGAATCTTTCAAAAATGGCACCTATTAAAAACTACATAAATATTATTTTAAATAAAAAATTCTATTCTAGTTTTCTTTATTTTTTAATTTGTATTTTTCAGATACTGACTAATATATACCTTTTACTAAAAATTAGAATTAGATTCGACCATCAAACATTATTTTTCACAACATTTACTGTAGTTATTTAAAGTGATGATGGATAAACTAATTAATACAACTAATACTTTATCTTACTATCGTTTTGAATGTTTCAACATGTTATTATTTACGTCCATTTTATATAGCCTTCATTCTCCACAACAATAATCTATTCTAAACTTAAAAAATTATCTTTAATTCTTCTATTTTTAACACAAGTCAATTTATGTAAAATATGAAAATTTATAATATATATATATATAATTTGAATTGAGTTATTTACACTACTTTTTCTTTTAAAAGATTTTATGTACCAATAAAGAACAATAAAATGAAATGATTTATAGTGTCTGAAAATTTTAAAACAGCAAAGTCGCTGTTTTACAGTCTTGGTATACCTCCAAAAATAATTTTGTGAATTATATATAATAACAAAGGAGCTTGTTCAAAATGAGTCTTTTTCATGAAACATTTTTACCTTTTAACAAAAAAAAAGTCGTATTATTTACTAGCAAGAACAATTTTTTTTTAATATCATATCATTTGAAAAAATAATCTAGACGTGTGAATATAAAAATTAAAAAAGGTTCGAAATTGATTAACTTATTCTTTCAGGAATTTTTTCTTTCACGTTTAATTTTTTAATTTTAAAAATGTGTGAATTTAATTTTTTTAATTAAATTTAAAATATTAATTAAATTTAATTAAAATAACTAAATTTACCTATTTCTAAAGTTAAACGAATAAATTAGAGCAAAGGAAACTAATTTTAATTTTATTTAAAATTAAAAAAATAAAGACATATTTAAAAGGAAATGACGTCTAGTAGACGAAGAGTTCCAATAAATGAGATTTTTTAAAGAACTCTATTGAAAATGGTGAAAATCCAAATAATTCAACGCATTTAAATTATATTTGTTAAGCGTTGGCTTTTTTTGTTTCACCGCATATATGAGCTGATTGAAAACTTCATATTTCACAGTATTCCGTGTTTGTATCAGTCCTGTCTTTTACCCACTTCTGTCCTAATCAGCTCGACGAGGCTACGCTTTCAAACTTTTTAATTTAATTTTGACTACAGAAAATGTGTGTTTTTCGTTGAATACTCTTGCTTCTAGACTACGTACTTTTCAGTGTAAGCAACTCACGATTATAAGGACAAATATTAATCATAAGTCTCTTTGACTTAGTAACATTTAAAAAGAAAAGCTATTAAAAACGATATAAAAAGAGATGTAATATGTTAAATGAAAACTAGAAACCAAAAGTACGAAACTTACTGAAGGAAATTCTGGTTATCAAGTGACAGCACCAATCATGATAATACGCAAAGCTTCAGTTAAGATTGTTGGTTGTTCTGATTATGTGATGGGTGCCGTTTCTTGCATGCTTCTTTTCTTTCTCTGTTGTCTAATACCTGAAGCCAGTGCCCAGTATCTCTTCCTAAACTGTGATAACAACAACGGGAACTACACAGCTAATGGCACCTATAGCACCAATCTCAACACCCTTTTATCCACTCTTTCTTCCAACACAGAAATCAACTATGGTTTCTACAACTTCTCCCATGGTCAAAACGCAGACAGAGTCAACGCCATTGGGCTGTGCAGGGGAGATGTGGAGGAAAATCCGTGCCGCAGTTGCCTCAAAGATGCCGGAGGCAATATCACAGAGCTTTGTCCAAACCAGAAACAGGCTGCTATATATTATGACAACTGCATGTTGCGCTACTCAAACGACTCAATATTTGGGGTCTTGGATATTTCTCCCCACTTTTATATGTCGAACTCAAATAATGCAACAGGAGCGGCTGAGTTCAATCAAGTGCTTCAAAACTTATTAAGGGAACTCAAAGATAAAGCAGCATCCGGTGACTCCCGTCGTAAGTATGCTACGGATAATGACACAACTACCAATTTTCAAGCCATATATGGTCTTGTGCAATGCACCCCTGATTTGACTCAGACAGAGTGCAACGATTGCTTGGATGAGGCTATCTCACGAATCCCAACTTGCTGCAACGACAAGAGAGGTGGTAGAGTTGTTGGACCCAGCTGCAATATTAGATATGAAGATTATCGCTTCTATGAACAGACAACGATAATAGACCCAGAGACACCACCACCCACAATTAACACTTCCACGGAAGGTACTTATCATTATATTTTGCTTCTCAATAGCCTAATAATTACAGTTGAGTTCATGATCATCCAAGTGCCTAACCCAGCAGAGGGTTCTTGTTTTTTCAGAAAGTAGCAACACAACAACAATTGTCATTGCCGTAGTTGTGCCTACTGTTGTTGTTATTTCGCTATGTCTCTTCATTTGTTTAAGGAGGAGAAAGGCAAGGAAAAATCTTGAAGGTAAGTCCACTTATCAATTTATTGTGATATTTATGTCCAATTCACTCCTACACTGTTACAATAAATTATCAACAGACAAAATTTCCCGAACACCGACAGCGGTATTGTTCTTTGAACGTATGAAAAAAACTAACTAGTTTAAATCCGTTCCCCATGTAAAGTTAAAAAAGAAGAAAGTGAAGAAGAAGATGAGGATGAAATTAAAATTGCCGACTCGTTGCAATTCAACTTTGACACAATACGAGTTGCTACCGAGGACTTCTCTGATTCTAATAAACTTGGACAAGGCGGATTTGGAGCTGTTTACCGGGTAAGTAACTCAGTTGAATTCAGACACGCATCATCAAAACATGCTATAACAGCCGTTTGCAAATTATTTACTGTACCTGACAGAGGTATATTTCCAGGGTAAACTCTCCAATGGACAGATAATTGCAGTGAAAAGGTTGTCAAGAGATTCTGGACAAGGAGATGTTGAATTTAAGAATGAAGTGCTTTTAGTGGTGAAGCTTCAGCACCGAAATTTAGTTCGGCTACTTGGTTTCTGCTTGGAAGGAAGAGAAAGACTACTTGTCTATGAATTTGTTCCCAATAAAAGCCTTGATTATTTCATATTTGGTACTTTTTATCACTGCATAAATACAATCCTGTTCTATCGTTACAAACCTAATTATTCAGAGTTAAAAACTATTGGCGGCTATATATGCAGATCCAGCCATGAAAGCACAATTGGATTGGGAAAAGCGCTACAAAATCATTAGAGGTATTGCTCGAGGTCTTCTCTACCTTCACGAAGATTCTCAACTACGAATTATCCATCGTGATCTCAAAGCAAGCAACATTCTCTTAGATGAAGAGATGAATCCTAAGATAGCAGATTTTGGCATGGCAAGACTGGTTTTATTGGATCAAACTCAAGCAAACACAAGTAGAATTGTTGGAACCTAGTAAGTATTAAAATATGTTACACCTTGTTAGTGGTTGAGAGTTTAATGTCAATCGACCGTCTAAGAAAATTTATTGGAGTACAATAACTCAACTCAAATAAAAGATAAAATTAAGATAATAATATAATTTTAGTAAAAAGAAAAAAAAATGGTTTATAAATGATATTCTTATTTTACTTCTATCTTATCTTAGATCCTAATAGTTTTATCGTTACTCTTCACAAACCATGAACTAGTAACTGTTGAAAGAGTTTGAGTCTTAGACAGTTGTTAGAATCTATCTGTTTCATATGGCTGGGTGATACCTAAAAAACCTTTAACAGTAATTCAGAACCAAAGCTGCCAATGGTATTAGAAACTGAAACAAAACGAAATTAATAATCCTTTTCATATTGGTCTGCAGTGGATATATGGCACCAGAATATGCAATGCATGGACAGTTTTCAGCGAAATCAGACGTCTTCAGTTTTGGTGTACTGATTCTTGAGATTGTAAGCGGCCAGAAAAACAGTGGAATCAATAATGGGGAGAATATGGAGGATCTACTAAGCTTCGTAAGACTTTCTTTTGTCACTGTTGCTTCTTCTTTACCACCTAAAATATGGATTAGAAGATTAGATGGTCCAAAACGTTAATGTAGAAGTGAATCCATGATCTGATAACAAATTTTGCAGGCTTGGAGAAACTGGAAGGAGGGGAAGCCATTAAATATTGTAGATCCATCACTCAACAACAATTCACGGAATGAAATGCTGAGATGCATCCATATTGGGTTACTATGTGTTCAAGAAAATTTAGTTGACAAAACGAACATGGCTACCATTATCCTGATGCTTAATAGACATTCTCTAAGTCTCCATATTCCAACCGAACCTGCATTTTATATGAACAGTAGAACTAGAAGCTTTCCAGGGATGCAGTCATGGGAGTATAATTCAAGGGAAATGGGATCAAGTGAACCGATACTTAAATCAGCTCAAGAATCAGAAAATGAAGCTTCAATTACTGAGCTATACCCTCGCTAGATGTTGTTCATCAAAGGGGATTCATTCATCGTCTTTGTTTCTTTGCTTAAAACAAAACAGAATGTCTTGTAGTGTGCAGAATTGAGTTAAATACATCTCACATCCTTTGCCAAAACTGAGATTGAAAATATCCCAAACTTTTTAACCGATTCCACATCACACCAACTAANTGTGTTCAAGAAAATTTAGTTGACAGACCGACCATGGCTACCATTATCCTGATGCTTAATAGCCATTCTCTGAGTCTCCCTATTCCAGCCGAACCTGCATTTTATATGAACAGTAGAACTAGAAGCTTTCCAGGGATGCAGTCATGGGAGTATAATTCAAGGGAAATGGGATCAAGTGAACCGATACTTAAATCAGCTCAAGAATCAGAAAATGAAGCTTCAATTACTGAGCTATACCCTCGCTAGATGTTGTTCATCAAAGGGGATTCATTCATCGTCTTTGTTTCTTTGCTTAAAACAAAACAGAATGTCTTGTAGTGTGCAGAATTGAGTTAAATACATCTCACATCCTTTGCCAAAACTGAGATTGAAAATATCCCAAACTTTTTAACCGATTCCACATCACACCAACTAATCTCACAAATATCCAAAAATACCCTAGAATGTCTATGGTAGTTTGCTGTTAAATAAAATATTCATGGCTAGAATATTTTTTTAATTAAAGAGAAGGAAAAAAAGAAAGAAAATAAAGAATAAAAAGATGAAAAATGAAGTTGTTTGAATTAAAATAAAATAAATATGAAGTAAAAATAAATAAATATTTCTAGTTGGTTTATTGATACTATAGAATAACTTTTTACATGTATTTAAAAAATAAATCTTAACTAAAGTAAAAATTTATTATCAAATATTGATAACTAAAAAAATTATATTTTAAAATAATAATATATTAAAATAAATTACTTCAAAAATACCAAAATTTAAATTATTTTATTTTATTTTATTTTAGTTATATATTTTCGTAAATCGACACTTTATAACGTGGAAAGTTTATCAACAAAATATTATTCTTTTCATTTTTAATATACTTTTTTGTTCTCTGTACTTTATGTTTTGTTATTCATTCTTATGAATAATAAATCATGTGAAACAGATACTTTGTCTATGACATAAAACTAATAGTTTGATACTTCTCAAGTTTGTAATTTATAATAATTTGACGATCGATATTGTGTTATGTCTGTAAAACTATTTACTTTGTGGTGGGATAAATATATTATTTGAATACGCTGAAAAAAAAATATTCTTTAAACATGGTAAATTAATGTCTGATAATTTTTAAGCACTCAAATAAATAGGAACAAATTCATCATAAAACCAGAACTATAAAGCGATGGAGGAAGTGCATTTTTTTTTCATTATACTACCTACCGTTTACTTTTATTAAATTCACATATTAAAGTAGTAAAAACATTTTTGAAGAATAATAATGGAGAGATCTATACTGCTAAAAATGTGCTTCACGTTTAACTGTTAATATAGCAATAATACATCGAAAGATAAAATTACCTTTGACGTTGAACGTAATTTTTTATTAAAATTCTTTGACCAATAGTTAAAAGACTTAAAAAAGAAACTTTCTTTCTTGCGTTAAAGTTTACATCATAATATTTTCATTTTGCAAAAAAATAAAATAAAAGAGTTATTTGTAATTATATAAAACGAAAACTTAACATTCTAGCATAAAGTTAATGAAATAAAACATTTTACAATAATATTCTAAATAGAAAATTCACAATTTAGGAATTATTATTACTGTAAGATATAATCATGGTAACACGAAATACATAAGTATAATTTCAAAAAAATTATTGTATAACAAGAAAGATAAAGTCTTTTTTAAGATTTTAGATCTAAGAAAAATAATCTGAGACAATAGTAACACATCCTTTTCAAAATAAATCAACTCATTTTTTTTTTCTGTTCACACAAAGTGATCATTTCTAAATAAAAAAACAATACAAACATAACAATATAGAAATGTAAGTTAATGTCTAAAAAAAGTTTTCATACAAATATCATCATACATTACTCATTCATAAAATCAATCATAAAAAGTTTTACAAAATGGTTTTTTTAATTTTAAATTCTTTTAAAGGTAGGAGGTTGACTAGGAAGATACAAACACCAATGAGATCTGAAGCCAATATAAGAGATTGATATTATTCTACACCAAAAACTTTAAAATAATGGATTAATGGGTCTTTTACCTTTATATAGTGTTTTACTTTCTCATTTCTATCCAATGTGAGACTTGGACTCATACTTGAATTCCCAACAATCTCCTCCTCAAGGGTGAATCCCTTCCACATTGGTACACTCTCCCTCTAGCGAAGCATTCCCAACCACGAGTACCCCTTCGTACAACCGTTCATCTTAACAGGACACGCTTACCTAGAACCCTTCACCAGGAAGAGTTTCGATACAAGACCATTATACTTGTCTTGTCTGAACTGGTCACCAAGACGAACCATCCACTATAAATGTCGTTAGTAATTAAAAAAAAAATAATTGAGACATGTTTTCAAAAGCTAGAATGCAATTGAAACTTTTAGAGGAATGAAGACCAACTTGACAAACTCCTACTAAACTGGAGACCATCCAAATAATTAAGTCTTAAATAAACCTAAACAAGATAATATGGTATATTAATTATTACAATCAAATTACAAAACCTAATAATTCTTTTTTAAAAGTTATTATAAAATTGATTACTATAGATATGTAATAATATATCAACTACTGAATTATATTTTATTTATTCATTACCGAATTGTTAAAATAATTTATAATTTTTCTAATTAACTTTAACTTATAATTGATCTATGAATTGTTATTTATAATTGAGCAGGTAAAATAGCTTATAATATTATTTACATGAAAAAATAAAATGAAAAAATAAAATAAAATAGAATAAAAGGGTTTTTAGTTTTAGAACAATAGAAGGGAAGTAAAAGAAAGTAAAACTATAACGAGTATTTGGTTTAAAAAGAATATTTGAATAAAAATATTATTTATCCTTGCAACATTTTGTCTTAATTCGCATCGTGCAAAAGTGGTCCTGATAAAGAGTTCCAAATTCCTAATTGAACACGTCACAATGGATCATGATTACCCTCGTTTCAAATTATTAACGTAATCACAGTTGATTCTTCCTTACTTCCTTTTTTTTTTTATATAAATATTACTTAGATGGACTTAACAGGTTGACTTTTAATAACATTTTCCTTCTATGTTTCAAAGAAGGCTTTATTAAATCCTATGGATGTAAAAGTAGTGTAAGTCTTGGAGATAGGAATAGTAGTGAAATGAGGTTTTAATTTAAATCCTTGAAAAAAAAAAAGCTTTGAATAATAGTAAAGGGATATGTTTATATTGAATAAGAGATTTATATATATATTTTTTAAATTGCTATAAGGAAAATCTCAGAAACAAAAAAAAACTAAAAGATAGATAATTTTAAATTTAACAAAAATAGGAAAAGAAAATACACAATGTTGCTTTCAGTATTCAACCTTTTCTTTATTACATTAAAATAAATTTAAGGAACCACGCTTTTAAAATACAGGAAAAACTGTCAACCGAAAGAAAATGAAAGACAAACTATCAAAATAAATTAGTTACATAAAGATATATGTCATTTTTATGATTAACATAAAATTAATTTAAAATAAAGTTCATTAAAATTACATTAATATTAAAGTAAATGTTGTATACAGATCAAAACAAAAATCATGGATGACATTTTGCATAGACTTTTTGTAAATTCAATGAATGAGCAGTTGGACACATGAAAAACATCAAAACAATTCGACGCACTTTGCTTCTAAACATTATATTTTAACTTTGATTACATTTTTAGTCTTCAAAATTTGAAATAAACAGATTTAAGTTTTTCAATTTTTAAACAATATTTTATTATTTATTTATTTTTGAATATTTCACGTTTCAAAATACTAACTTTAAAATATAAAATTATTTTTTATTTTCAACAATTAATTTAAAGAACAAAATCAGTATGTTTTTAAATTTGAGATTTAAAAAAAAATGAGATCAAAATCATATTTATCCAATTTTGATAAACTTAAAACAAAATTAAACAAACATAATTATATTTTTTATTTTTAGTGACATTTTGTCACAATAGCCAATTACTAGTAAACAAAATAATAGAAATTTCCTTTTTAACTGTTGAGTTTATTTTACTATTAATTTATAAATTTGTAATTTCTAACCAAAAGAAAAGTTTTGGTTCTCCTATTGAAAACCGTGTATTTGTTTGTTAGTCTTTTTCTGCAAGCCACTTTCTTTCAAAGTTCCGAAATTTTGAATGCCAGATACCAAAAAAACTGAAATTTTTGATTGACCCAGTGATTTTTCTTTCAATTATAGATATAAACATTAATTCAATAAAATAGAAACTAAAAGCTACCATATTACGAAACAAAAATTTCAAATGACTAGTATGATTAATGATTATGACTTAAGGGAAGTTAGGCTATAAAAAGATAGCAGCATCCTATGGGCATTCATCATCATACGCCCAAAGCTTCAATATTCTGTTTGCTATTCTGATTACAGAGACAAAGATGAGAGTGGCAGCAATCTCCCGCATGTTTATTCTATTTCTTTGTTTTCCATTTCTAAAATTTATATCTCTAGGCAGCGCCCAGAATGTTTGTGACAACGGCCACGGCAACTACACAGCCAACAGCACCTACAGCACCAACCTCAACACCCTTTTATCCAGTCTGTCTTCCGACACACAAATTGACTACGGTTTCTACAACTTTTCATACGGGGAAAACAGTAACATAGTAAACGCCATAGGGCTGTGTAGAGGAGATCTTGAGCCAGAGGAGTGCCGCAGCTGCCTCAACGATTCCAGAGTCGATATAACACAGGCTTGTCCAAACCAGAAAAAGGCAATTCTGTGGTCCGAGAAATGCATGTTGCGCTACTCTAACGACACAATATTCCACAAGATGGAAACTTCTCCTGGTTATTACATGTGGAACGCAAACAATGTAACAGAACCGGATCAGTTCAGCGCAGTGCTCGATGACTTAATGAAGAACGTAACAGGCAGAGCTGCATCAGGTGACTCTCGCCGTAAGTATGCTACGGCGGAAAATTCAACTGCTATAAATTTTCAAACCGTATACGGTCTTGTGCAGTGCACCCCTGATTTGTCTCAGCAAGAATGTAATCAATGTTTAGAAGGGGCTATCTCAGAAATTCCAACTTGCTGCAATGGCAAGCAAGGTGGTAGAGTTCTTAGACCAAGTTGTAATATTAGATTTGAAACTTACAGCTTCTACGAAACTGCAACAACGTTAGACCCGGATCCGGAGGCACCTCCTCCGTCCACCAATACCACTTCCTCAGAAGGTACTTCTTTTTCTTCTCAATTTTCCTAACCTAAAGTTCACCCAAACAAATAGGAACCCAAATCTCACTTTTAACACGTTTTCTTCTTTCTCGAGTTTTGTTTTCCTTATTCATCCGATGGAGTTTAAATTTTAGTCGGGAATGACAGGTGCTTATATGCACTGCCAACTTCTTCTGTAACTAGTAATTAGGCTTTTTGGTATTTTACAATCCTTAATCCCTGAAATGTCTCACCGGGCAGAGGATTCTTGTTTCTGCAGAAAGTGGCAACACAACAATAATTGTCATCGCCATAGTTGTGGCTACTGTTGTTGTCGTTATTTTGCTCATTTGTCTCCTCCTATATCTAAGGAGGAGGAAGGCAAGGAAAGATCTTGCAGGCAAGTCCAGTTATCAATTTATTGTGATATTTTAGTTTTCAATTTACGAACTCCTATATTGTTACGATAAACAGACAAACACCCCGAATGCTCTGACAGCAGTATTTTTCTTCGGACGTATTCGCAAAACTAACTAGTTTAAATCCGTTTCTCACATGAAGTTAAAGAAGAAGATGAAGATGAGGATGGAATTAAAATTGCCGAGTCATTGCAATTCAACTTTGACACAATACGAGTAGCCACAGAAGACTTCTCTGATTCCAATAAACTTGGACAAGGTGGATTTGGAGCTGTTTACCGAGTAAGTAACCCTGTTGAATTCAGACACGCATAATCAAAACATACTATAACAGCAGTTAGCAAATTAGTTACTGTACCTGACAGAGATATATTTTCAGGGTAGGCTGTCCAATGGACAGATGATTGCAGTGAAAAGGTTGTCCAGAGATTCTGGGCAAGGAGACGTGGAATTTAAGAATGAAGTGGTTTTAGTGGTGAAACTTCAACACCGAAATTTAGTTAGACTACTTGGTTTCTGCTTGGAAGGAAGAGAAAGACTACTTGTCTATGAATTTGTTCCCAATAAAAGCCTTGATTATTTCATATTTGGTACCTTTTATCACCGCATAATTACACTCCTGTTCTATTTATCACTTTTTGCTCAATACAAACCTATTTATCAATAGAGCTAAAACTGTTGGCGCTCTACATATGCAGATCCAGCCATGAAAGCACAATTGGATTGGGAAAAGCGCTACCAAATCATTAGAGGTATTGCTCGAGGTCTTCTCTACCTTCACGAAGATTCTCAACTACGAATTATCCATCGTGATCTCAAAGCAAGCAACATTCTCTTAGATGAAGAGATGAATCCTAAGATAGCAGATTTTGGCATGGCAAGACTGGTTTTATTGGATCAAACTCAAGCAAACACAAGTAGAATTGTTGGAACCTAGTAAGTATTAGAATATTTTATAGCTTGTTGATGGTTGAGAGTTTAATTTCAATCAATCATCAAAGAGAACTTTTATCATTAATTTTCACCAAATCATGAATTAGTTACTATTCAAAGAGCTTGAGGCTTAGGAAGTTGTTAGAATGTATCGATTTCATATGGCCGAGTGATACCTAAAAGCTTTTAACAGTAATTCAGAATTAAAGCTGCCAATGGCATTAGAAACTGACGACCTTTCCATATTGGTCTGTAGTGGATATATGGCACCAGAGTATGCAATGCATGGACAGTTTTCGGTGAAATCAGACGTCTTCAGTTTTGGTGTACTGATTCTTGAGATTGTAAGCGGCCAGAAAAACAGTGGAATCAATAATGGAGAGAATATGGAGGATCTGCTAAGCTTCGTAAGTCTTTTTTTGGTCACTTGCTTCTTCTTTGCCACCTAAATTATGGATTAGAAGATTACATGGTCCAAAACGTTAATGTAGAAGTGAATCCATGATCTGATATCAAATTTTTCAGGCTTGGAGAAACTGGAAGGAGGGGAAGGCATTAAATATTATAGATCCATCACTCAACAACAATTCACGGAATGAAATTCTGAGATGCATCCATATTGGTTTACTCTGTGTTCAAGAAAATTTAATTGACAGACCGACCATGGCTACCATTATACTGATGCTTAACAGCTATTCTCTGAGTCTCCCTATTCCTGCAGAACCTGCATTTTATATGAACAGTAGAACTAGAAGCTTTCCAGAGATGCAGTCATGGGAGTATAATTCAAGAGAAAGAGGATCAAGTGAACCGATACTTAAATCAGCTCAAGAATCAGAAAATGAAGCTTCAATTACTGAGCTATACCCTCGCTAGATGTTGTTCATCAGAGTGGATCTTTCATCATCCATGTCTCTCATAGTTTACAATCTTTGTAAAGTTATTCATGGGTAGAATTTTTTTTGAGAGATCAAATTGATAGGTTTGTACTTTTCAATTTTGTACTTTTATAATAATTTGATGTTCCAAATCATGATATGTATGGACATAATTATACGTGATATGACTTAATATGGCAAGTCAATCTCTGAATATGATGTTCGATGTCATGATATGTATGGACATAATTATACGTGATATGACTTAAATATGGACATAGTTTAGAATCTTTGTAAAGTTGTTCATGGGTAGAATATTTTTGAGAGATCAGATTGATAGGTTTGTACTTTTCAATTTTGTATTTTTATAATAATTAGATGTTCGATATATGACTTAAATATGGCAAGTCAATCTCTGAAACTTTTACGCAAATAAACAAAAATAAAATATTACCTATAAAACCAGAAATGAAAGAATTGTATATTTCTTTCTATATATCACTCGCCCTTTAGTATGGTTTTTAGATACTCTGCTAAAACAATTTTATGAATAAGCAAGGAACTTCACATAAATTAATATCTTATGAAATTTACAAAAAAAAGTCGTAAAATTCTGCTTACAATTAATCAAGAGGACAAATACTTCTTAACATCTCTCTTGGAAAAGTAATTAACTTGATGACAAGTACTTTTAATATGGATTTATTCAAAAATAAAAACTGATTAAAATTTGATAAAGTGATTTTCTTAATACGTGTTCGGCTACTCCTTTAGATTAATACTAATTATAATAAAAATATAAATATTAATAAAATTTTGATAATTATTATTCATATAAAATACAACAAATAATTAATTTTTTACGAATCAAGCATATACATAAGTTTACAATAAACAATTAATACAATAAATATTAATAAAATATTGATAATTATTATTCATATAAAATACAATAAATAATTAATTTTTCTTTTTTCACATCAATCATATACATAAGTATAATTATATTACAAATATAATTAATTATATCATAGATGTTTTACTATAGGAAATATATTGAATATTTTATTTATTATTTTATAATTTTTTGGAAAGTTAAATTACTTCTCTTTTTTTTAAGTTTCGTTTTTTATTCTTATCATGTTTCCGTGAGATGGTAGAAGTTTAACATTTTAAATAACAACTTTTTCTTTTATTAATTAGTTTTAAATATCTGTCTACGCATGCTTTTTTTTGTGTGCTTTTCAATAAATATATGTTATGTTATAATATATTTAAATATATATTATATTATATTCAGAGATATTTAGAGGTGGAAGAAAAAAAAGTAATAATATTTTTAAGTTTATAATTAAATTTTGAATAAAATTAACATAAAAAATTATTTATAAGTTTAAAAAGTCAATATATATGTAAAATTATAAAGTGTAAAATTTTTAAATGCAAAGGATATAACATTTGAAAAAATATGGGGTAAATTCTTAAAAAATACAAAAAGATAGACTGTGAAAAAATACTTAAAGTATATTTGTTATAAATAGAAATCAATACATGATCATACTGGTCTAATATGTATGGCTAGACTCGTCTAATTTGTGCATCGACAAATTTGTCTAATATATAATATTAAACTCGTTTAATTAATATATGAACACACTCATCTAATGTGTATCTGATAATATTATTTTCTACCTTTTTTATTGGTGTTAAGTTTTGTGAATAAAATCAACTCTCCATACCTTTTATCTTGTTTTTGTATTGTTTTGTATTTTAGTTGTTTTATACTTGTTTACCTCTAATTTTTATTTACAGTGTGTGAAATAAGTCAATAGAAAATAATTCTGGTGGAGAAAACTAATTGGAACTCAAGGAAGCATGTTTGAACAAAAAATAATAATTTTCAAACAAATATCCATGTTGAGAGGCGCTATAATCACACTCATTGCTACAAACAAGAAGAAATGACTTACCTATAGGGTGATAATGTCATGGATCATTCCTATACAACCAAAGAACTACAATTGGATGTCAGGTTGTGTGGTTGGGCGAGNATCCTAAGATAGCAGATTTTGGCATGGCAAGACTGGTTTTATTGGATCAAACTCAAGCAAACACAAGTAGAATTGTTGGAACCTAGTAAGTATTAGAATATTTTATAGCTTGTTGATGGTTGAGAGTTTAATTTCAATCAATCATCAAAGAGAACTTTTATCATTAATTTTCACCAAATCATGAATTAGTTACTATTCAAAGAGCTTGAGGCTTAGGAAGTTGTTAGAATGTATCGATTTCATATGGCCGAGTGATACCTAAAAGCTTTTAACAGTAATTCAGAATTAAAGCTGCCAATGGCATTAGAAACTGACGACCTTTCCATATTGGTCTGTAGTGGATATATGGCACCAGAGTATGCAATGCATGGACAGTTTTCGGTGAAATCAGACGTCTTCAGTTTTGGTGTACTGATTCTTGAGATTGTAAGCGGCCAGAAAAACAGTGGAATCAATAATGGAGAGAATATGGAGGATCTGCTAAGCTTCGTAAGTCTTTTTTTGGTCACTTGCTTCTTCTTTGCCACCTAAATTATGGATTAGAAGATTACATGATCCAAAACGTTAATGTAGAAGTGAATCCATGATCTGATATCAAATTTTTCAGGCTTGGAGAAACTGGAAGGAGGGGAAGGCATTAAATATTATAGATCCATCACTCAACAACAATTCACGGAATGAAATTCTGAGATGCATCCATATTGGTTTACTCTGTGTTCAAGAAAATTTAATTGACAGACCGACCATGGCTACCATTATACTGATGCTTAACAGCTATTCTCTGAGTCTCCCTATTCCTGCAGAACCTGCATTTTATATGAACAGTAGAACTAGAAGCTTTCCAGAGATGCAGTCATGGGAGTATAATTCAAGAGAAAGAGGATCAAGTGAACCGATACTTAAATCAGCTCAAGAATCAGAAAATGAAGCTTCAATTACTGAGCTATACCCTCGCTAGATGTTGTTCATCAGAGTGGATCTTTCATCATCCATGTCTCTCATAGTTTACAATCTTTGTAAAGTTATTCATGGGTAGAATTTTTTTTGAGAGATCAAATTGATAGGTTTGTACTTTTCAATTTTGTACTTTTATAATAATTTGATGTTCCAAATCATGATATGTATGGACATAATTATACGTGATATGACTTAATATGGCAAGTCAATCTCTGAATATGATGTTCGATGTCATGATATGTATGGACATAATTATACGTGATATGACTTAAATATGGACATAGTTTAGAATCTTTGTAAAGTTGTTCATGGGTAGAATATTTTTGAGAGATCAGATTGATAGGTTTGTACTTTTCAATTTTGTATTTTTATAATAATTAGATGTTCGATATATGACTTAAATATGGCAAGTCAATCTCTGAAACTTTTACGCAAATAAACAAAAATAAAATATTACCTATAAAACAAGAAATGAAAGAATTGTATATTTCTTTCTATATATCACTCGCCCTTTAGTATGGTTTTTAGATACTCTGCTAAAACAATTTTATGAATAAGCAAGGAACTTCACATAAATTAATATCTTATGAAATTTACAAAAAAAAGTCGTAAAATTCTGCTTACAATTAATCAAGAGGACAAATACTTCTTAACATCTCTCTTGGAAAAGTAATTAACTTGATGACAAGTACTTTTAATATGGATTTATTCAAAAATAAAAACTGATTAAAATTTGATAAAGTGATTTTCTTAATACGTGTTCGGCTACTCCTTTAGATTAATACTAATTATAATAAAAATATAAATATTAATAAAATTTTGATAATTATTATTCATATAAAATACAACAAATAATTAATTTTTTACGAATCAAGCATATACATAAGTTTACAATAAACAATTAATACAATAAATATTAATAAAATATTGATAATTATTATTCATATAAAATACAATAAATAATTAATTTTTCTTTTTTCACATCAATCATATACATAAGTATAATTATATTACAAATATAATTAATTATATCATAGATGTTTTACTATAGGAAATATATTGAATATTTTATTTATTATTTTATAATTTTTTGGAAAGTTAAATTACTTCTCTTTTTTTTAAGTTTCGTTTTTTATTCTTATCATGTTTCCGTGAGATGGTAGAAGTTTAACATTTTAAATAACAACTTTTTCTTTTATTAATTAGTTTTAAATATCTGTCTACGCATGCTTTTTTTTGTGTGCTTTTCAATAAATATATGTTATGTTATAATATATTTAAATATATATTATATTATATTCAGAGATATTTAGAGGTGGAAGAAAAAAAAGTAATAATATTTTTAAGTTTATAATTAAATTTTGAATAAAATTAACATAAAAAATTATTTATAAGTTTAAAAAGTCAATATATATGTAAAATTATAAAGTGTAAAATTTTTAAATGCAAAGGATATAACATTTGAAAAAATATGGGGTAAATTCTTAAAAAATACAAAAAGATAGACTGTGAAAAAATACTTAAAGTATATTTGTTATAAATAGAAATCAATACATGATCATACTGGTCTAATATGTATGGCTAGACTCGTCTAATTTGTGCATCGACAAATTTGTCTAATATATAATATTAAACTCGTTTAATTAATATATGAACACACTCATCTAATGTGTATCTGATAATATTATTTTCTACCTTTTTTATTGGTGTTAAGTTTTGTGAATAAAATCAACTCTCCATACCTTTTATCTTGTTTTTGTATTGTTTTGTATTTTAGTTGTTTTATACTTGTTTACCTCTAATTTTTATTTACAGTGTGTGAAATAAGTCAATAGAAAATAATTCTGGTGGAGAAAACTAATTGGAACTCAAGGAAGCATGTTTGAACAAAAAATAATAATTTTCAAACAAATATCCATGTTGAGAGGCGCTATAATCACACTCATTGCTACAAACAAGAAGAAATGACTTACCTATAGGGTGATAATGTCATGGATCATTCCTATACAACCAAAGAACTACAATTGGATGTCAGGTTGTGTGGTTGGGCGAGCTAGCTACTCGGTGGGCAAAAATGTGAGTCAGTAGGTGAAAATACAATTTGTCCAACAAGTTACAGGTTAAAAAGCATTAACTTTTTAAGTCTTATTAGGTGAGAATGAAGTCGAGAATGTTGACTCTAATACATGAACAAGTATTTAATCATATTTCTACAAGGGTTTTAAGGTGATTCCTCATTTTATATGAAAAAAAAAAATCTTA